GTTCTGCCTTACAGATATTGCAGGTTTCTCTTTCATTTTCTTAAAAAGTTCCCACACTTTTGAGCTCTGTAGCCAGGTAGCCATGATACCAGAGCCTGTCTGTGTAATGTCTTGTGACGTCACGGCCTACCCCAGTTACCACTACTGTGCATGTGTGTCAAGGACAGAAAGGCAGATGTGGCAGTGGAAGGTGTCAAAGCAGTTTGGAGAGAAAAACAAAGTAAAGAACAAAAAACAAAACAAAACAAAAAAAACAGAACGACTAATTGATTATTATTAGTCGTCGACTAATTGTGGCAGCCTTAGCTCTGTTATAAGTTTGTTGTTCGGTTCTGTTGGCTCACATTAAACTGGCCTTCAGACTGGGCGCCCTGGTTCCATGAGATTTATTGTTCTTTTCCATGCATTAGTACATTCTCCATATGGTTTAAGCACACAGCCGGTAAACGAACACGAATAACTATATTTTCTTTCATAACAATAAAATATTAGTAGAAAGTGAGCTAAATATGGAAACTGTGTTTGTGACATTTTTTAACATTTTATTTTACACTTGGCACACAGCCAACCACTGAGTGAAAAATGGTCAACATTGACGACGTTTGGAAGAGGTTTTTGATGTACTGATATATGTAAACTCTGATTTGTTGTGTGCAGATTTAAGTGTTGTGTTTACATTGAGTGTGTACCTGCATTTCACAATTGCATATTGTGTAATCTGGTGAACTAGTGGAGTAAACTCCTTTAAACTGCACAGTGTGATAGTTCAGATGAACCAGTTCTTTCAGTTTGCAGTGAGAACCTATAGTTTGACCATTTGTTGGTTCGCTACGAGACAAAAACACGCTCTGCCTTCTCGGAGGTGGACCACCGACAGGTTTTGTGTTTTGTGTTGGATTCCAGGACGAGCTCCAGCGCTGGAGCCAGGCCATGGAGCAGGCCGCTCAGACCCTGGCAGCAGAGGAGGCTCCGGGGTCCTCGGGGGACAAAACCCACAGCCTGCCCGCCCCCTCCTCCTCCTCAGCTGCGCCCCCTGAGCCCAGCTCTGCCAAGAAAGACAAGGAGAAGAAGTTCAACCGCTTTGCCAAGAAGAAGTGAAAAGAAACGAGACGGCCATCAGGAGGGAACGTTGCCTGGGCAACCTGAGCGGGAGAAAGCAGATTTTGTTACAATCAGAGCTTTTTAAACACTAGTTTCTTTTCTCAGATTTGATGACAATTAAATGATAGTTTAGGTTGAAGCTCTCACTTTTGCCTGTATTTACGCCAGTTTTTGGAGCTTCTTTTTGTGTTGTTTTTAAGCATAAATGAAAGCACAGGAATGCTTCACACTCAACCAAAGAATGTTTGTAAAAGTTTGTTTTTGTTTCGCTGCAGTTTTTGTTTCAGCTTTCATGAGGCTTTGTTTGGATAAGAAGCCTCTGAGGAACAGAGGGTGATGGTACTTCGATCAGTCTGCCTTAGAAAATGGTTGTGAACTGTAATACTGTGCTGCTGGAGAGCAGAGCGTGAATTGGATGCTTTGTAAATGCAGTGTAAAGATTAGGACAGTCTGCTGCAGTTTACACTCTCCTGGTGTAACTAAACTAAATCTGTGCAGAATCTGACTGTTTGGATTTAAAACTGATCCGTCAGTTTTCTGTCAGGCTGCATTCTGAACCTGTCTGTGGCAGCAGATATGAATATATTCAACACTCGTGTACGAAACTCCTGATTTCATATCTTATCTAATAACAAACAGACACTATATATCTAACGATGCATGAAGTATGTTTTACATAGGAGTGATATGGTGCTATTGTGATATTCTTGAAACTTTAAGCAAGACCAATTGACTTGCCTTATTTATAAATCGACGTTGGCTCGCAGCCACGCAAATGTGAAACGTAAACAGCTAGCATGCAGAAATACGGGCTTTGTTTCATAAAGGTAACGTTCCTGTGGAGAAAGCTAATCTACCAACTGAACACGTTTCCAGCACAAGTCCAGACACTTCCACGTTCACCTGAAACCCCAAACCTGTGACTTTAGTGGGCACAGTTCACACATTAACAGCAGGGAGGCAGAGGTTCAGTGTTTGCCTCTTCAGACGCACTAAGTGAGGCTCTGTGGAAATAAATGATTTCTTACTAATTAGTGGCAGAGGTAGCTCGGTGGTCGCATCAGGCAGGGCATCTGATATAAAAAAATTATCAAATCTTACATTTTGCTTGGATGTGGTGACATCTGCAGAAGGGAGCAGCCAAAAGAAAAACAGCAGGGGATCACTTGTTGTTTGAACAACCTTCGTTTGGAGAGGAGTTTAAATCTGATTAAATGTGAGCGCTAACGACAGGTCAGCGCGGGGTTAAAACCAAATTTCATACTTTAACAGCCTTTAAAGATGAGATTATTTATCTATCAGACAAAGTGAAACAAAGTATTGCTGATTAGAAAGTAAACTGTATTTAAACCCCTCATTTTTATTATTTATTTAAAGAAACAAGAAAAGTTAACAACTTAATGATGTTTTTGGTAAATTAGGACCAGCTGTGCTCTTCATACAGATGATTCACAGAATGGATCTGAGGGAATAAGTCTTCATTATGAATGTAACAGAAGGACATTTCAGTATATAAGGTATTATAATGAACACACACAAACACACACACACTGCCAGCTTTGCCTTGTACTGCGGGCTCTGTCCCTAAACACACGTTCAGTTCAAGTGACCTCAATAAAAGCCATAAAAGATCATTCAGCTCAAACGTTCTCCAGGAAATGTACCAACATCAGTTCTGAAGTATCTAAACTTCTGACCGTGTACGAGCAGAAACCCATCACTCATGTGGAACTAGTACCAGTTTGATTAGAAACGCACCTGGAAATGGTTTCTTCGGTCTTCTTATTGTCGGGTCACATTTATCAGTAAGTCAGATTGTGACACACTCACACTTTGTTCCCTCCTCACCCTTTCTGTTCAGTGCTTTTTAATCTGCATTTTGTACTCTACAGCTGTGTAAAATATTCAAACCTGTCAGAAAACACGTTTTGAGAAAATAAAAGTTTAGAAGATTTGTTTTTGGGTTTTTGCTTGTTTATGCCATGGTAATCATGGTGTTTGTGTGTTTTTATATCTGTTTTAGTAAAATATCTCATGAAATACTGGATGAATTTTATTGAAACTCTCATAAAGTAGCTATTGGATTAACTGATCAATTCTTGGAGCCAAACCAGTTCAAGACACTCAGCTGACCTGAGCAAACAAAGAAATGGCTGTTAGACAAATGTACAGATAATGTGTTCAAAGTTGGTGTGGCTGTAGCTGCGACTCACAACACACACTCTGGTTCCCAACAACAGAGGCAGTGAGTTCTGTTTAATCTGCATCACACTGAAGTGAGTTGTGCACACACACACACACACACACACACACACACACACAC